TTGGGGGTGAATATAGCTCAGGGACAGAGCATGTGCTTAGCCTGCGAAAGAGCTTGGGCTCAAGGCATAATTTTGGCTTGTAAAGAATACTTAATATCTGAGGAAGAAACAGGAAAACGTTCAATCTCCCTAATTTGAACGTTAACAATGAACACAACAATGAACACCATTTCTAACAAAATAGAATGACTTTCTTTTAAAACTGCATACAGTGGGAGTGCAGACTGGTGCAACCACTATGGAAATCAATATGGAGATACCTCAAAGAGCTGGGAGTAGAGGTTCCATTTGACCCAGCTATCCCTCTGCTGGGTATTTTTCCAAAAGAATTAAAAGAATCATATCATAGAGATATATGCACACCTATGTTTATAGCGGCACAGTTTGTAAATAGCTAAAACTTGGAAACAGCCCATTTGTCCATCAGCTGGAAACTGGATAAAGAAGATGTGGTTTCTCTATAAAATGGAATATTACTCAGTCATAAAGAATGAGAAATTAGATTCATTCATAGGAAAATGGATACATATTGAGGATATACTCCTAAGTGAAATAAATAAGTCACGTATGTGTAAATACCGAATAGTTTGTCGTGAATAAACTATAATAGTACATAAGATCCTAATGATATAATGGACAATGTGAAATAGGAAGAAAGGGGCTTAAGGTGTAGGGAAAGTGGGAAGGGTAGGGGAAAGCTAATAAGGGAAAAGAAAAAATATGAGAAAATGAAAAAATGGAAATGAAATGTTTGTAAAGGGGGAGGGAGGAGGAGTGAAGGGAGGGCAGGGACAAGGGGATAAAATGAGAACCAAGACCTGTCATATAAAGGTACAAGATCCCAATAATGAATGTAACTGTACTGTATATCTAAAATGTACCAATAAACTCAATGAGAAAAAAAATAAAACTGCATATACTCAGAGTTGGTCAGGGTGTAGATATGTTTAGGATTTAATGCCTTCTCTTTTTTTTCAGTATGGGGGATTGAACTCTGGACCTTGTGCTTGCAAGGAAGGCAGCAGCACCACTGAGCTAAATCCCCAGCAGTATATTTTGTATATACAAAGACAATAATGATCCTTACAAGTTCTTTTCTGCTAAACAATGGTTCTCAAAGTTGAATGTTTGTTAGAATTCTTGGATTCCTGCCCCTCTCTCTTATTTAGTAAGTCTAGGTGGGCTCAATAACTTGCATTTCCAACAAATTCTGCTGGGCCAAAAGACAGCAACACAGGATAGCTATGAAGTCAGTTCTGAGGGCTGCCTGGTTCTGATTCTGACTCTGGCCTTCGTAGGCCGTGGATAGCAATAGGTGACATACTTGAGCTCTGCTTTGCCTCCTTCTACACTGATAGAAGTAATGTACATCTCATAGGTGTATTACCATAAGGACATGGTTGAATGGCCAGCTCAGTACCTGACTTACTTCAAGTCCTCAGTTAGTGTTGGCGCTCTTCTCATCGACTTCCTGTAAAGACGCAGCACACCTTTTCTATAGGTGAGTTTATGGTGACATGATTTAGCCACACCACAGGTAATATCATTTCCTCTAACCCTAACAAGACATACATGTCCATCTGCTACCAACAAAATCTTCACTGTTCAGCTGGGTGTGGTGGCATATACATGTATAAATCCAGCCTCTTGGGAGCCTGAGGCAGGAACATCATGAGTTTGAGGCCAGCCTGGGCACTTTATCTCAAAAAAATAAAATGAAAAGTGGGGGTGCACATCAGTTTTAGAGTTGTTGTATAATGTTCAGGGTCTGAGATTCAATCTTAGTATGGCAAAAAACAACAACAACAACTTTATTATCTATCAAATAATAGTATGTATAACAGTGTCTATCTACTTTGATATAACAGTATCCATTGTGCAAAGTTGCAGATTAAATAAAGCAATATGCCAAGTGCTTTTAGTACTCACATATGGAAGATACATATATATATATATATTAAATTCAGTTCCCTTTGCCAAACTTTTTAATGAGGAATTTATCCACATTCTCTTAGGCCTACTTCAAAAGCTCACCTGACGTAGAATGCTTAAATCTTTCCACCTCAGATTCCTATTTTGTATCACTGTTACTTTGAAGTCAATTTATGGGTAAAACACATTCTACGTAAACCGTTGTATTCGATGGTTAAGGTGATAAGTAGAAGACTGTTTCCTGACTTCAGATCCCTTTGCCACTTTTTAATGAGGAATTTATCCACATTCTCTTAGGCCTACTTCAAAAGCTCACCTGACGTAGAATGCTTAAATCTTTCCACCTCAGATTCCTATTTTGTATCACTGTTACTTTGAAGTCAATTTATGGGTAAAACACATTCTACGTAAACCGTTGTATTCGATGGTTAAGGTGATAAGTAGAAGACTGTTTCCTGACTTCAGAGTACTTGACTGAGGTTGTTATATACTGTACATAAAAACTTGAATAGAAAAGTAAGCCAAAGTGGGGTAAATTATACAGAAAGGAAGTGTAGAAGTTTCAAGATTATAGTGGTTGATTTGCAATTATTTTGTACTCAGGAAATAGTTACTGTCAGTGTGACCTAGGGCAAGTCACTTAACTCTGTGCTTCATTTCTTCATCTCTAAAATGAGTATAATGTAGTACCATTTCAAAAAGTCGTTCAGAGGATTAAATAACCTAATATACAATGTAAAATCCCTGTGGACTTGTTACTGTTATTAGTCTCAGAGGATGAAAAGTAAGGAAGCCAGTCTTCTGCTTTTTAAATTTTATTTTAAAATCTCCTTCCTCAGATTCTGTTCAAAGTATCCAGGTAGGTAGGTACACAATAAATACCTGTTAGCCACCTTACTATACTACTGGAAGTATTGTATCCCTGAATTGCAAATCTGGCCTTGATCGAGTACTAGGAATGCCCCCCCCTAAAAAAAAAACCCAAAACCTCCAAAACAAACAACAAAAAAACCATGATACAGCAACAGGACCTAATGGATATATGACCTAACATCTTTGAAAAAGTCAGTCAAGATCAACAGGTACTGAGAAAGATGGGGGTCAATGAGCTCAATCCCAAATGAGCTTTCTCATCTATTTTAAGAGCTATTTCAAACTTCCTTAGACAAAAATCTAGCCTTTTAAGGAAGGCGCACAGAACATGCCTCCGTGGGCTTCCTTTGAAGGAATGTTTTAGTAGGTGCTGCATTTCACCCAGGAGGTAGCTGCACGAATTTGTGAACTGAAGTGGCAACGTGGACTGACTCTGGAAGAAAAGCTATCTCTACACAGGGAGTTTAATTACTATTGCACTACTTGAAACGAGAAGCCGCAACAGCAGCCACACTGCCACCACTTGCCCAGCTCAGCTCAGGCGAATATTGAGATTAGGGAAAACAAGAACCATTTTTTCCTGGGGCACCTTTTTCTATTCTCCTCAAAGGCTTGCTAAAGAAATTCTGGGATGAATAAATTACAAGCCAACAAGGCTGTCACAGCATTAGCGAGTGGGGAGAACAGGTGGACATGACCTATAACTTATATTCAGGTATTAGAAAAATAATGGATGGGGGCACGAATTCAGTACTACCTTTAGCATCATCTATCTGAAGATCTTATGGGTACCAACCGCATTCCAATCTTTGACAGATGCAAATTACCTCCCCACCCCTTAGGGGAATCTGGGTAAAACAAACATGGAGGGAAGAATCTTGAAGTGAGTAAGAAATAACAGAAGGTCTTCCTAGGGTTCTCGTGTGGAGGGGGTCAGTGAGGATCAGGTCCACCCCACAGCGTCAGGAAAGGTGGAAGACTTAAAGATCACTGTAGGATGATAAGCCCCAAAGTTTGGGGTCGAGCCAAGGGGCTGTCTCCTGGTCCCCTTGGGATCTGCCCTGCACACAGCCTTCGGCAGTTTGTCTGTCAGCATCTCGCCCTTTTATTTCCAGACCAGACACTGCCTTCCTGGCGTTCTCACAGCGCCTAGCTCAAGAGCTAACGGCGGAGTCGACTCTGTATCACCGGTTTTCTTTCTTTTAGGGCCGGCGTTCTGGTGTGGCCCGAACCAGCGGTCAGCACAATGTTCCCATCCCCTCTCTCGCCCTCCTTATCCTCCAGTGACGTCGCGAAGCCCCGAAGGACCAATCTGGGGCCTTCAGAAATGGTTAAAGCCGCGTCCTTCAGGTGTCAGCCTTGATGCGTTTGGAAACCACAATCCCCAGCGTCCCTTGGGCCAGAAGATCAGGCCACAAATAAGATGGCTCCAGAAGGGTGGAACATGCAAGAGGTAAAACCTAGTCCCTGGCAGTTTCTCTACCGGATGTGTTTAAATAACCGAATCGCCACTTATTCACCACCCTACTAAACACCTCCCAGGCCGCGGAGGCCCCGGCTTACGCCGCGCCCGCTCCTCCAAGAGCATTCTGGGAGTTGTAGTACAGTCACTCAGCTTCGCTGAACTACCCTTCCCAGGATGCCTTGCGCCCGGACGATAAAAATGTTCTTTTCCAAGATTCTCTCTGTATTGAGACCCCTACTTCTAAGACCCGCTTTCCCGGTCCTCCTCCCGCCATCGACTCCTTCCCGTTTGTCGCTACAGAGTGGCGGTCGGGGAGCGGCCCCGGGTCCGCGTCGCACCGCCCCAACAGGCACTTCCGGCGGCGGTTTACTTCCTGGTTGGGTGGCTGGAGCCGGGCGGGAGCGCGCGC